GAACGACCACGGCCACATCAAGTTGGTGGAATGCTCGTAGGTAGCCCGACCTAGATTCCCCATCAGCCAGAAAGCAGGCCAGAGCCCGCCGACGTCGCTGGGTCCGGGTAGTTTTAAGGAGGCTTCCACCACCCCGCCGGAGAAGCAGAACTTGTTCCAGGTGTTGACCATGGCGCCGCGAAACTCCTTTTCAAAGATTTCGTATTTCTGCGTGAACGGGTTGAACCCTTTCCACTGCGTCAACTCGCTGGTGGTGGTGATTTTGAGGTGACCCTGACGGAGGCAGGAAGGGAGGGAGGGAGCGAGGGAGGGAGGGAGTGAGGGAGGAGAGTTTCCGGAGGCGCGGACTCCCGCCATTTCAGTCAAGAGGCAGCGGGACGCCAAGAGCCGAGAAAGCGGCCCAGCGTGGTCCGTTGTACAAGACGGACAAGCACGTGTGGCAAACACCTCACCGCCCAGTCCCCCCATGCCAAACTGCCCCCCCCCCGGACCTCTTCGGTGGTGCTCGCGTAGGAATGGTTGTAATATATCAAAGCCCCTTTCCCCACGCTGGTCCTGGCGTCGTCGCTGTGGTCCCCCGCGGTCCAGGTAGGGTCGTGCCCGTCCGCAAAGGTCCGAGCTGCCACATTAAATTCGTCCGACATGACTAGGCGCAGAGAGGGAAGGTTCGGGTCGCGGAGGGAGTGGGTGCGCTGGACTGAGTGTGGGCTGTCGGGGTCCACCCACCCGGCCTTGGTGAGGAGGGAGGGAGGGGAGAAGGCCGCGAGGAGGAGGAGGAGGAGGAGGAGAGGGTGCAGGGGGAGGTAGGTAGGCATCACGCGCTGCCGAGAAAGGATGATGAAATAATAAAAATTGTGCAAAGACATGCGGATAGCTCCAGGGACATCCTTCGAACTTTGATTGGTTGGTAACGGGGCAGAGATGATGGTTTGGGAGGTAGACAGACAGTGGAACCGACTTGCTTACTCCTGACATGGCCCCCCCTTCCTCAACCCTTTTGCTCCCCACACATGCATTTCCGAGCTTTCAATCTGACACGTGCAAAAAGACGAAAGTAAAATCGTCCACCGGACACTTGCGTGGCAAGGAGGGCAAAAAAGGTGCGACGCGTACTCACCTCCTTCTCGTATCGAATAGCGCTGAAGCTTTTCACCTGTGGGTTCGTGCAGGCCTTTCCGAGTGAGTACCGTCAATAACATGCGAGGCAGCCAGGGACGCCGCCAAAGGCTCAAAATCCTTACTGGCATCCGTCACGCGAACACCCGCGAAAGGAGCTAAAACCAGTCGGTCGATTCATGAAAATGAAACAGAGGTAAGGAAGAAGAAGCGGAAGAAGGGAGGAGAGACGGGCTCGGCGAGGGCACGAGGTGATACATACCCTCCTGAAAAGGAGAAAAAAGACTCGGGTTTTGGACACCAAATCCCGTCCATTTTCACTCCTTGAGTCCTTGTTTAATAAACATAAGGCAGGGATAATGATTTCCTGGTGGACGATTTTTTTTTTGGGTTTACAGAGCATGATATTGAGGAATAGCGCAGACACGGAAAGCCTACAGCCCTGGCGGTCCGGGGATTGTACTGACGGGAGAAAGGGTGGATTTCTGCGTCGATAAAATGGATAGGAACGAAAACAATGTCTATGCATACAACGTGCTGAAATACAGGAATTTCGTGTGCGGTAAAATTTTATGTCCACCGGTTGCGAAGGTCTTGGTGAGAAAGGTGCAGACAAGAGTCAAAAAGGAGGGGAAGCGTGGGGGCTCTCAGAACAAAGACTTTCTTACTGCCTAGATCAACAAAGCTGAGGTCTTGCTGACATCAGCAAATGACCTCTTTCTTTAATGCTGGTGGTCTGAATTTTCTCGCGTCCTCTCAAGTTGAAAAACCGCGTTGATTTACGACTACTATCATTCATTTTTCACTACACCGTCATTATCTGCCACCTACCCGCCCACCATCCTAATGTATTCCGAGATATTTTCCTGCGTGCCCGTGCATTCACTCCTCCTCTGGTCGAAGCTTCCTTTTCCCACTTCTCAGGTTCAAAAGCTGCTGTTTTACCGCGGCCGCCGTTTTCTTCAAGAGACGTTTCTCCGACCGCCGATGCTTAATGGCCATCCGCTGGGTCTTGGGAAACATGTTGAAAAGCTTGGAGTCGTTGATGAGACGGGCATCGTCCTCCTCTTTGGTAGAATACGAAGCGAGCGCCTGCAGGAACGAGGAGGAAGGAGGGCGGTGAGAAGGACAGGACAAGGAAAAAAGATGGACCTCCACAGGAGGAGGAACTTCCTTGTTCTTTTCGCATCGCCGACACAGTTTGCTGCGTTCCGTCGCTCTTTCCCTTCCTTTCCTCCCTTTTCCCCTCCCTTCCCGCTTACCTCTTCACAGGCACCCTCAATAGAGGCCATCGCCGCCAGCTCGTTCTCGAGACTGATCGGATCCGTAAACTCCATCTCCCGCAACGCCCGTCCTCCCATGTCTTCCTTGGTCAGGTACACAAGGCGCAGGTATTCAAAGAGCTCGTTGGGGTACCTAGAGTGGGAGGCTGTAGGATGAGAGGCCGGCATGCAAGCACTAGAGAGATCCACCAACGCCCCGTCCACCCTCCCTCCCTCCCTCCCTCCCTCCCTCGCTCTCACCTGTCCGCAAACAACGGAAAAGCTTCCTTCTCCCGTCGTTCTGCCTGGGCCAGGAAAGCGCGCTTCTCCTCGAACAAAGGATCGTCCGGTAAGAGCGCGACGGTCAGGTCGACCGAATTGAACGGATTTCGATCCAAGCAGAA